CTTAATAATATATATATTAAATATGCCTAATAATAGTGCATAAATAATATGTACAGTGCATAAATAATATTGGGATAATATGTAAATAATATTGCTATTTTCCATGATTTTATGTATAGATGGTGGTTATGAATGGATGTGGTTCGGTTATAGAAACAATTGCATTTGCCATCTGTGATGCAGGAGGTTAGGTTCTTTTCTCATTCAACAGTAATTACCAAAGTTAATGCTCGATAAATCAAGTATCACTTTTACTACATAATTTATTAAAACATATCGCAAGTGTTTGTTTTGAAGTGTGTGACACAGTGGTAAGTTATTATAATAGATTAGGATGAGAATTAATTTTAAGAAAACCTTTTTGACCCATCCAAAAATTGATTCCCAAACAATTATAGGGTCTATGAAAAATATTATAGAAATTTTTTATACATCTGTTAATTAACAAGATTTTCAATAAAACCTAATAGATTTATATAATAAAACTTCAAAGAACATCACATAGTATATTTTTAATAGGAATAGTACCCTTACAGTTATATTGCCGGTAATAATAAAGCTTTATTTCTCTGCTCGTATTCTATTATATTTGTTCAACGTTAAAATTACAACATATACTGGTATACCCTATAATTTGACCAAAAATAGCCACAAAAATATAATGTAAAGTAGTCTTTTGATATGGAATGTGTCTCACCCAATATCTATCATCAATGTTATCAGAAAATTTCATTACAAATTTATAATTTAAAAATCTAAACAAATAACATCAAACCATTTGCATTAACTAGGAACAACATTGCAAGGCTTGAATATACTATAGGCATCGGAATGTAATGTTTTTAATATAATATCATTTATTGCTTATGTTTTTAAAGACGCATTTATGACACCAAGTCCATACTATGGGGGCATAATGCAAGACTCAATTCTCAGAGCTAAAGTCAACATCCATCCAGTCCATCTCCACTCAGAGGTAAGCTGTAAGAGTGTAAACCAGAGTGTTTGCCCGAACTTTAAAAAAAAATAAAAGAGGAGGCCGTTTTTTTATATCTTTTATTTCATTTGATTTAGTTTGTCAAATTTATATAGCCTATCCAGACTATCACATTTTATTTGACAAGAATGTGTGTCATTCCTAAATGTGGTCATGATGACATCACATCATATAATGTATAAGCATTTCATGACTATATAAGGGCATACGAACAGTTTTTTGTCAAAGAAAATTTGGTAGTCTGAAATGTTTTTGGAATAGGAATATTACCACTATTAGGATACAGCAATAAAGAAGGATTACAATGCTTGAGGGAGGGGGACGACTAAGGCCGTGTTTGGTACTATTTCACTCTGGGAAATATACAGTCACAATGATGTTTTATTGTACTGTAGTTCTATATAGGAATTGAGAAGATGTTTAAACATTTCCATTACAGATAAAAGAAAATGAAACAAAACCATATCAACTAACAGTTGAAAAACTTGAGAAAAGTTTAGAAGAAGCAAAAGCAAAGGTTGGTTAATTTCGGCTCTGCCGTCTAAGCACAAATTGTTCCACAGCATAAATGTAGTTTTTTATATTTCATATGCTTTTGGTCCATTGGCCTGAAGGGGATAGGTAAGTTAATTTGGTAAAAAGGCCTTTGAAAGCTACAGTATACATGCCTGCTAACATTGAAGATTATTATTTCCATCATTGATTGAATAAAAAATTTGATGCTAAAAAAATTTGATTTGATTAAAAAAAAATCAAGACACTTTTCACTGTTTCCAAGTGGGTTGGGTGGGGGAATCCCCAATGACCCTCCCGGAAACTGAAAGCTTGTAGCACTGCATGGTGCTATTCAGTAATGTAGGTTATCATGTTTTATGGCCTATATTTGATATGATTTACCACATTTCTTTGATAGTTTAATAATCTACCTTATATTCTTTTTAATTTTTCAGGGGATAAATATCTGTGGACTGTTTCTCGTGAATCCTCATAACCCGCTAGGTGAAATATATTCAACCGAGTTGATCAAAGATTGTCTCCAGTTTTGTCATAAGTAAGTTATAGATAGCAGCTTTGCTTAGTCGGCTAAACTGGTTGTAGCTACTCTCTTATACACATCTAGATGTGTATAAGAGACAGGGATTCTAGTCGTGATGATGTGTTTCGGCTGGATTCAAGTTGCGATTATACTAATAAAAAATACTGTAGTAATAATACTGTAATAATACCATTATAATCATATTAATAAGACTGTAAAACAATTATAGGTAATATAATAATAGAGCTGAATCCAAGTTACAATAGCGCACCGTCTTTTGGATGAGACGTTTAAGCCGTTGATCCCGTATGCATTATGGGCCATGTGCACGTTTAAAAAATGCAGTGCACTCTTTGTAAAAGAGTAGGGGATTGTCTTCAGGTGTACTGCCCACTCACCACCAGAAGGAACGCACTGGAACTAAGTCTTCTTCTGACTCATGAGTTATCCTTGGTGTTTACACCGAATAAATCTATCCAAGTACTCAAGCCAAACTTCATTTCTAAAGAATATATATTAGCTGTTAAATATGCATTTAATTTATCTGATAGTGGAGTTGTTTTTAATCAGAGAAAATCCAGCTGTCACAGGAATGGAAACCAGTCCCCATCATAACAACCATTATTCAACTCCACTAGATATGCATGTTCATACATATTTATATACAGTGCTTTCTATTTATCTTAAGGCATTCTATCCATATAATATTTGATGAAATATACCTGACGAGTGTGTTTAAAGAAGGTGTCCAGCCTACTAGCATCCTTCAATTCAAACCAGAAGATATTCCAGACCCTGAGAGAACCCATCTGATATGGGGCTTTAGTAAGGTAATACAGGATTCCAATCATTATTTCTAAAGTTGGGCACTTACTGCGCCCGAGGCTCGCCAGCCGACGCAATTCTATCGAAGACACAACGCCATGTTGTGTGCACAATGGATCGTTTTTAATGATGATCCGTTGCGGCGTCACATCCTCTTGCGCTCAAAGGTAGCGGAGTTGGATTTGTCGGCCGGCGGTGTACAACGCAGTGGGTGCCCGGCTTTAGGTGGATTATGAAGATGATTATGATAATAACTAAATTTAATGCATGATATAATTTATGTTCATCTTATGCCCTTTCCGGACTATCAAATTTTATTTGACAAAAACTTGTGACATTAAATCAACATCAACCTCCTTTACCAAAAAAGTTGGTCTACCAACCTCTTCGTGACTCCTCTATTAGATCTTTTGGACAATGGATCACCCAAGAGGATTGGTCTTTAATTTATTCTGAACCAGATGCAGAGAACAAGCTTTTGTTATTTCAAGAATCATTAATTTCGCATTATAAACAACACTTCACTGAAGTTACCATTATTCAAAAACCTAAAGATAAACCATGGATCAACAGCACCATTAGAAGATTAATAGAGCAGCGTGAGGCTGAATTTAAAGTTAATGGTAAATCATATGCTTTTAAGGAAATTCGAAATAAGATTCAAAAAGAAATCTGTAAGGCCAAAAAACAAATGTATAGAAGAAAGATAAAAAATCTTAGACGAACTGAACCAGGAAAATGGCATCAACAGGTTAGACTGCTAACCGGAGTACATAAAAAAAACCCTCCATTGTTACATCAAATGAATAAAGAACCAAGTATTCTCGCTGAAGAATTAAATTTACACTTTGCAAAAATTTGCTCGCAATTACCAGCCCTGGATATCACAAAGTTACCTACATATTTACCTGTGTTACCGCCACCAACCATCACCAGAAACGAGGTGTACACTCAACTTCGTCGTCTCAATACATCTAAAGCTGGCCACCCGAGTGACCTCCCTATAAGACTCATTAAAGAATTTGCATTTGAGATAGCAGAGCCGCTGACTATTATCTTCAACTCCTGTCTAATTCAGGGAACTTTTCCGAATTTGTGGAAAATAGCATCCATTACCCCTGTCCCCAAAGTAAAGCGAGCAAAAGATTTTGCAAGTTTTAGACCTTTCTCTATAACTCCAATTTTAGCTCGCATCTTTGAAGGTTTCTTAGCAGAATGGGTAATGGATGATATGAAACACAATATTGATACTCAGCAGTTTGGTAATATCAAAGGCAGTTCTGTTAATCACTATCTAATAAGTATGTTGGACACAATACTATGTGGACTTGAAAAACCTGGACATTTTGTTAATGTTTGCACGGTAGACTTTGAAAAAGCCTTCGATATTATTGACCACACGATTGCAGTTCACAAGCTAATCAAAATGAATGTCAACCCCTCGATTATTCCTATCATTGCTAATTTTCTGACTAACCGTAAACAGTCTGTTAAATTCCTAGGTGAAATTTCCTCCACACTTACATTCTCGTGTGGTGTCCCGCAAGGGACAAAACTTGGTCCAATTATTTTTCTTGCTATGATTAACGATGCAGCCATGTCAACTGAAAACAGATGGAAATATGTGGACGATCTCAGCATTATTGATATTGTCAATCGGAATCATGTTAACCAAAGTAGGTTACAAGTTCTCATGAATAACCTCAATCAATGGTGTAAAGACAACTCAATGAAACTCAAACCCCAGAAATGTTATAACATGACAATTAGTTTCCTTAATGGTGACATTGTAAATAATAATAATATTGTATTGGATAATCATTCCCTTGAACCGGTCCTATCTCTCAAACTCCTGGGTGTGACAATACAATCAGATCTAAAATGGAACACCCACGTAAATGATATGATACGTAAAGCTTCTTGTCGCATTTATATGATTAGCTGCCTGAAAAGAAATGGAGTGGATCAATCTGATCTTATATTTGTTTATCTTACCTATATTCGACCACTTCTGGAATTTGCATGCCCTGTTTGGACTACCAGTATTACTTCAGCACAAAGTTATAACATTGAACGGGTACAAAAAAGAGTACTACGAATTATTACCTGTCTCTTATACACATCTAGATGTGTATAAGAGACAGACACTGCACTACGTTACTAGGAAAACC